TTATCTAAAAATAATTGATCCTCAAATTCACCTTGCAAGAGTTGCCTTAATGTATGCTGGCTAATTCCATGAACAGTGTTTACATAAAATCCGATCTTATCCATTATCTGTTGAGGAATATGCCGGTATACGTTGATAAAATGTGTATTATCAGAGGTTTTAATTTAGTAATAGACAGACCTAGAGAACTCAATGGCCAGTATATATTAATAAAACATGTGCAATTTGTTTTAATAGACTTTTGGTTACGTTGTTGTGAGAGATCATTTTTTGTTTTTTTAGATTTAAAGTTACTAGCATGTTGGCATGAAAAGCAAAAAAAAAAAAAATCAAATTTTAGTGTAATACAAATCACGTGAAACTGCCTATACGTATATATTATTTACGTGACTAATCAGTAGGATGACGATTACTAAAATCATCCTGGATGATCTATATAATAATTCTTTTCTTTATATATGTTTTCTTTTTCCTTTTTTATATTTGTTTTTTTTTGGTTTATTCAAGGTAGATAGATTATGAGTTAGTTTTTTTACCAAGTTCTAGAAGTATAATATAGTATTAGCCATAACTTAGATAATTAATTGTAATTTCACTTATATGAATTGTTTTTTTAATATTAAATAATGAAGTTGTAGTATGATTGCTTCAAAAAAATATATATATATAATAATATAAGAGTGTAACAATATAGTAAAGTGATGGAGGTGTGGCGACTTAGTGTAGTAGTCTAGTCATTATCCTCTCCAAGCAGCAGGTCTAGAGTTCGAATCCTGCTGTTAACAATTTTAAAAATAGGCCTATATATGGTTGATGGCTTTCTATTAGTTGGATTTAGATTAATCTATAATCTTGGTCATACTATCTAGTATTGAAAGCTTCGGTGCAATAAATTCAGGAGACCAGAATTACTGAAAACCTGTTTGGCAAGTTCTGAGTTTGGAGGTAATAGTGATTTATGATGGTACCACAGAAGAGCCGAATTCAAACCAGGACCCAAAATCAAAGAACTGAGTAACCAGGTCCTAATGGCGAAGGACATATTAGCCAAACTGCCAGGTTGTCGCACTAAAGGAAAAGGATATATACTCCGAAAATATAGACCAAGGGGAGAGCATTCTTCAGGCACCTAAAGCCTGGGCAGACTGACTCTTCCAGGTTGCCGGCTAGAAGTAAGGAAAGGGACAATAAAGAATCCGGGTAAGAAGACAGTCTAAATAGGAGATATTGAGGTTGCTAGGAACCAAAACAAAAGCAAGGAGTATGTAATAAGTATCTAGTTAGGAAGGTTGGTACTTGAGAAATGTTTGTAAGATGGCAGCACTCCAAAAGATAGCATGAGATATGAATATGGAATTGCAGGTCAATATGTACTAATTAGAAAGAAGTTATAGAAACAAGCATATGAATATATGTGTGAGACATGTACTGCTATGTTAGGTTTATCTTGAGGATAGTTAAGTGTTCTAAAGTAGGGTGTAAAATCTAGATTGGGTGATACCAAAATCTATCAAGTTTATAGTGAGAAAACCCATCAGGTTAGGGGGCAAATGGAGGTAGTTAGAACCAGATAGTTTAAATGGGTACCCCCTAGTTGGGGTGCAGGTACAGCAGATAGTGTAGAACCTTCGAGCAGACTACTTAAATAGGCACTCAAAAGGTGCACATGTGGCTTGATGTACCATCATTGTAATTACATATAAAACTCCATCTATACTCTAATAAAAAGTTCCCCAGGCCAAAAAGGTTACTTTGATACCAAAAAAAAAAAGTCAGAATTGCCAAAGTTAAAAAAAAAAAAAATTAATAAACTGATTGATTAATGAAAGTTTGCTAATTTGTTTTTATTTAATTGTTAAATAATTAAGTGCTAATTATAGCCAAATAATATCATACTAATTGTTTGTTATTTTGTACTGAATAGAAAATACTAAGTAGTATGTGATTTTGCTATTTGGCATTTATTAGTTATAAAAAAATCACATATAATTTATATAGCATTCGATTATAAATTATTATAATAAATAGCAAATTTTGACTAGTATATTTTTGTAGTATATATTCTTATTCTTTGAGGTGTAATCTATATTTTACACTAATAAGTTAACTAATAAAAATACAACAAGTAGTTTTAAATAACTCTAGTAATTAGATTGGTAAATCCTCTTGCTAGAGATTTTTGTTAGATATTTAATTACAATTTTTTGATCTGTTCTGTAGCACTATTAAAAATCTTTATTACTTTTTTATTTAGCTGGTTTTAGATTTTTAAGTTTTACTGGTTTAAACAATTCTGGAAACCAAAATCTTTCAATATTAAAACTAATACTATAATATTAGTATTTTTGTTCAAATCATTGCTAGTAAGATTCAAACAGGATACTTTAGTTACAACTAGCTTGAAAATATGACAACACTACCACTACAGTACCACTACACTAAGTTACTACACTCTTCCTTGTAGCTTTAATATTAATAAAGTTATAAACAAAAATAAATTTATTTTTTTTCTTAACCAAATCTCTAATCTTTTTAATATTTCTTCAAAGTTTTGTTTTTGTTCTAAAGACTAAATATATAAACGTTCTCATTATTATTATTATTATTATTGTAAATTAATATCCTTTTTCCACTTGATTTTTTTTATATTGACAAGTTTGAGTCACGTGCGTGTAAAGAATTCTTCACGCCGAACAATTTTCTGTTTATTTTATATTTTGTATATGCATGCATATCGATATATTTTCAGTTACGTTAATATTGGTACACATCCATCGCTAAATGTGATTAAATTGTGATTCAGCCAATTAGCTCATATTTAAGTTACAGTATATATAAAAACCTGAGATTTTATACTTAAAAACTTTTGTATTGATATATGTATTGAATTAATTGCCATATAAGAACAAATTTCAGAAACAGTAAAAACACATATCTATTCGTTTTATTATGTAAATAAAAAAATAGTAAAAACACATATCTATTCGTTTTATTATACAGTATATGGAGATGTCAATAGAAACCAAGCAAATTGTTTCCAAGTAAATTTTTTTTTTAACTTTAAGTTAAAATATTTTCAGCAATTATTAAACCAAACTTGATAAAAATTTTTTATTTTAATTCTATATAGTCATAGAATTAAAATAAAAAAAAATATTTATCAAGTTTGGTTTAATAGTCGTTGAGATATTTTAATAAAAACACTAAAAACAATTTGCTTGGTTTCTATTGACACCCCCCATATGATACGTAGTAATAAATATAATAAAAAATTCCAATTTCAAAAATAGGATTGCTTGCTTTCTATTGACACCCCCCATATGCTACGTAGTAATAAATATAATAAAAAATTCTAACTAATTTCAAAAATAGGTTTGCTTGCTAAAAACATTTTATTTTAGTAGGGTCAAAATTCTATTATGATTTATTTATATCCAAATCAATCGCTTTAGAATCATAGTCTGTTTGATTATTATTTAGTTGCCGCATTATATCTAATACAATTAGTTATGGTTAATATTAGTTTATATCAAAAATAAGAAATATGTACAATATTCTGACCTGTAATTGTATTGCTATTTAATTTCGTACTTTTTAAAGTCAATGCTTTACTAATTAATTTAGTTAATGACCGACTAGAGTAAATTGCTTGATCATTTACTTTGTTTGGTAAAATACTTGCATCTCTATTTTCCGGAAATTTTATTTTTCCACTGTCTGCTTGACTAATAAGTTTCATAAGCTTGACTCCCAAACCACCACGTTTTCGTTTTTTTCTTTCTTCCACATACGATATTTACGATAATCGGTTTTATCTGGGGCTTCTGCTTCTAAGGCTATAAATTTTCTTTTGTCTGGATCTTGATGCCAGCATCTTTCTATTAATTCAACTAGGTCTTGTGGAAGGTTATTTGGAATTTTTGGTCGAAGACCATTAAGAATATCAAGAATAAGATATTCATCATGTTTACGATCGGAAAATGGCCTATAGCCACTTATTACCTCCCAAATAATTATACCAAAACCATAAATGTCTGAGGCTTCAGTGAATTTGCCACCATTTAACACCTCTGGTGCAACATACGGAATAATACCATAAATTTCATTTCTATCTGGCGATGTGTCGACTGGTTTGCTAATTCCTAAATCTGCAATTGCTGGTTCATTATTCATTCTAATAAGAATATTGCCACTATGAAGGTCACGATGAATAATTTTATTTTCGTGTATTAAATTAAGTCCAATTGAAAGTTTGTATAATAATTCTAATTTTTTTAACCAAGATAAAGCATTTTTTCTTAGAAAATAATTTAAGTCTCTATTCTGCGCAAATTCTATGACTATTATATAATTTTTTGTTTCAGGATGTTGTGTGATGCCAAGATAACGAGAGAGTGTTTCACCATAACTATCACCATATGATCGTGTTTTATTTGTACTATTTTTTCTACACTGGAAAAAGTTTTCCAACTAAAATAACAATATTCAAATTTAATTAAATTCAATTATATAAGTATAATCACATAGTTATATACATACCTCATTTAAAAAATCGGAATCCATTTTTTCAGAATTATTAAGAATTTTAAGAACAACATTATAATTTCTGTCTCGACTGTATGTATGGCTCTTAGTACTCCAACGAGCAATAGGCCCATCAACCCATTTTGCTTTATATATTACACTAAACCCTCCCTTGGCAAGGTATTCAATATCGGTAAATTGTTTATAAGGAATGAATTCTAATTTTGAACTATTTTTAGAGGATTTATATGTTAATTCAATAAAATCGTCTATTAGTTTATTGCCGCTTAAAACTCGTAATGAAGTCCGATAACAATCTTTACATTTATATTTTTCCATGTTACATTTCTTGCATTTTATTCTTTTATGCCTAGAGACAAGTGAAACTGGACATTCATTCTCTTTAGTTGATTTTACATTATATTGTGGCAAAGTATTAATTTGTTCAAAATATTGATTAATTCCTGTACTATAAATGTTTAGCAAACTTGCATTAGTTTGATCTTGAATAGAGCATGCTGTCCATTTCATAGACAAATTATGATTAGTTTGATTCTCATCATTTTGAATAACATCTGTGGACGATTCTTTAACCGTATTATTATGAATATTTAACGTTAATAAACTTGTATTATTATGAATATTTAATAAACTTGTATTAACTTGATATTGAGTAAAATCTGCATTCCATTCCATAAACGGATTATTATTTGTAGGCCATTCTATAGGTAGATTGTTATTAGTTTGATCTTGACTAAGGCCTGCAGACCATTTTACGGATGGATTATTGTAAACGTTTGGCAAATTTATATTAGTTTGATCTTGAGTCAAGTCCATAGGCCATTCTGTAAGTAAACTATTATTAATTTGATCTTCATAACCTTGAATAAAGCCAGTGGACCATTCTATAGATGGATTATTATAAATATTTAACAAATTTATATTAGTTTGTTCTTGAGTAAAGTCAATAGTCCATTCCATAGATAGATTATTATTAATGTTTGGCGAGCTTTCTTCATTATACATTATACGGCTAATTATAATACGTTATTAGTAAAGTTATATTCATTATTCTTGATTGTGGACAAAATAGCTTTTCGAGCTCGAGTTCGGTCAATTTAAGTTATGTAACGTGCTTTTCTAATGGAAATATATAACGACCAATGGAATTATCTAAATAACAAATTTTACAACTGATGAAAAGTCAAGTATACTCTGATTTCGATATAGAATATTCGAATTCGTGTAGAACATTCTATATTTAAAGCTAGAGGTCCAATCCGGATAAATCCGTCAATATGAATTTATCCGGATATCCATTTACTATCGGTATCCGGATAATTCGACAAATATTCGGATAATTATCCGGATATCAATAGTAAAATGTATATCCGATCTGGATATCCAAAAAATAAATGAATAAACGGATAATGGATAGGAGCTCTAATTTAAGCACTACAAATTCGAGAATTCTGTATGAAATTCCCATAACCGAAAGAATAGTATTCTAGAAATTCCATGCAGAAGTTTTTACCTTATGAGCTTGCAGTTAGACAGTTTGTACAACTTATCGTTATACAAAACTATGGATAATACAGTTACACCGAAATGCTCACAATTCTTCGTAATTCATGATTCGTTTGTTATGTTGGCTTGATTGTTTTTAATTATAAGTTTCGGAATGCAATTCTCCGTATTCTCTGATATTTTTGTTATTTGGCCAAATTGTTTGAATAACTAACTTTCTCTCTAAATTTTGAAACGTCCAAAATTTGGTACCATTAATTTCAAACACATACCTTTACGAGTTTACCCAGATCGAAGAGATTGGTAGAGGAGGACCCAGAGACCGCTTGTTTTATATTGCAACAAATTTTTATTTGTTATTTTTATTAATTTATTAAAATGCCCGCAAGACTTGATGCGATTTATTTATCTGCAGAAGAGATTCATGATATTGTCGCTTCCAGAAATATACACAATGCTGTTCAAGTATTATCAAAGAAATACGTATAACATATCATATGCATGCATCTATAAAATTTGAGAATTCGCTGTGACAATAAATGATTAACAAAAATTGGAGCGGATGATACCAATTACAAAAAATTGCCCTTTTCACTTTGTGAGAATTCTACAACCGTTTCTTCCGAAATAAAAATTCCTTATAATCAGAAAAGTAGAGCAAAGGTTTAATACATGAGATATTTGAATTTATTAGAAGCACTGATTTCATATCCTTACAAAATCTAAAGAAACCCCATTGAATTCTATCTTTGATGTAGATCCAACCGTACCTCATTTAGCTCATTTATTTGGCAAGGCTGAAAAACTGGACGAAAGAAAAATTACGTTGATGTTATTATAGTGAGGAATACGAAAAAAAGGTTTCAAATCCTAGTTCAGAAAAAAACATTAGTAATCAAATGGCAAGAGCACAAATCTATGATGAAATAATGAAATATCTATCTGGAATATTTGCATAAGATGACTCAAAAGGCTAAAATTATCTACACATTCTTCAAAGGAGTAGAAATATATAAATTGAGTACATTATATATAGTGTCGATGCTAACTAGTGCACAAATACAAAATATTATAAATCATTATACTAAAGAATCAGGTACGTACAGTACGTACGTACGAAAGTATCTCAAAAATTGATCAGCGTGAAGAATTCTTCACATACACGTGACTTACCAGAGACACAATATCCTGATTTATATTGAAAAGGCTGTGATAGAAATGATGACTATTATGGGATTACCGATAAATCTTTATACTTGCTATGCAAGTTATATTATTATGAAAATCTTCCTACTTATAATACGCTAATAAAGGTATAGAAAGCAGATATAAAAGTGGATTCTACTTTATTAAATAAGAGACAGCATGAAATTAAAATCGAGATAATAGCATGAACTTCATCTTATGCTAATATACAGAGCATAGAGCCTTAAACCCATATAATTCACTTAAGTTTTTAATGTTTCTTTAATGTGTAGTAAAGCTAGTATTGATGACACATTATTTTTTGTTGGTTATTTCCTAAAATTCTTTTTAACTACTTAAGTTGAAACGAATCCAAATATTCAATCTATCATTGTTGTCAAAAATGAAATGAGTCAGAATTTATACGTGCTATTTCTTTTAATCATGCAGCCTTTTTCTAATATAACCGGCACAAAAGTAATTATAAGGATAAATGCAAAAATTATTCTTATGAATGTAGACGTTCTAATTAGATGTGGAAACGGGTGTCATTCGCATAGTGTTAAATGCAAAAATAATAATGATAATACAAATTACCAATACTAGATATATAATAGTAAGCATTAATGGAAGGTAAAGAATGAGCGCATCACATGTGCCACACCTAGTACAGGGTCACAAAAACATATAAATATCAATACTTTTTCCCAAGTCCCGTAGTTTATTATCAAATATCCGTTTCGTTAAAAATATTAAAAATGATTCCACGTCAATCAAGAAATATTTCTTTTTATGATGAATATGTTCAAATAATACCAGTAGAATTTCATTCATGGATGATAATCATTAACCACACACTTGTATTAGTGATTTTCGTGATTTTTACTGGCTTTGGTATGTTACATATCTTTTTATCCTTTAAATGTCAGACAAATTTACTTCACGATGAATAGCAGGGCAGTTTAAGAGATAATCAATTGACTTAATCCAAAATTTTATACAATGTAGATTATAAAGCGGATGCTATATTAAAAGAGCAAAATAATCTTAAAAACAATACAGATCT